TAAACAGAAACCCTAGCTGGGGCTGTTTCCCAGATCCCTAACTAGGAAATTTTCTCTCCATTCTTGCCCAACAAGGTCAAAGTAAAATGTGAGTTGACAGCTGAAAGCACTTATAATTGCTGCCCCTCTCCCTACCTCTACTCTCCAAAATGGGATTATGGGATAGAGAGAGCCCCCATGGGGCCAGAAGGACAAAGTACTTCTTGTAATTATTTGTTTCAACCTTCGTGACCTGCCGAACAGATTTTTTTTCTAGTGAGAAAGCCAGGCCCCCGCCAGCACACGTGCTGTTTTCGATGCTCTGTGGTTCTCATGTGTCTGCTGTGCTGTGCGAATGGAGACTCGTTTCCAGATTAAAACATTTAGAAACCTACATAAAAGCGCTCTAACTTCCCTTCCCCCAACAAAAATCACTACATAAACTGTTGAGCAGTATTCACCTATCAGAGTATTTGTTGTGAGTGTAGATTACCAATTGAAAACACTACTCTTGTGTTCATAATTGTATAGTTTTTGATGTCCATCTCTTAAAGAGACAGTGTGTTCTCCCTACCCCAGTCCCATCTTCCTCTACCCTCCTGAATGACTTCATTATCAGGAGGGGTATCCAGGGTGTCTCCTTCCTTCCCATTCTCTTGGCCAGAAGTTACTAGACTTTACTGTCTCTTTAAAAATAAAATTTAAAAAGCTTTGCTTTGTTGTCTTCTCAGACATACATATGCATATACGTTTTAGATGTTCTTATAAGAGAAAAGATGGTTTTTAAATGTGCCAAGTTATGTATATATATACATATATATATCTGCTGCGTGATTGGTAAGCAATACAATAGTAAATATGTCCCCATTACTTTTTTCTAATATTGGACCAATGCTGTCCTAATTGTACATTTCCCCTTATTATGACGATGCTCTGACTCGTTTAGGTAGAAACATTGACCACCTTCCATTCCATTGAATCTTTTTTTCTCTTACCTCCTTTCTATGTCAATCTTGAGGGAAAAAAAACAAAACAAAAAAACAAAAGAGACAGGGGATGCCAAAGATCCCCTTGAGCAGAGAAAAAGCAGAATAAATATTTTATTAAAAAAAAAAAAAAGAGAATTAAGAAAATAGTTTGGAGTATTTTCTTACTGTAGAGAAGCACTGTACATTACTAAGAGAACTGGGTATAAGATACTCATGTGTGGAGTGGGAAAAATCGCATGTACAAGCCCGTTTGAGTGGTTTCTTTCGGTTTTCATTGCAGGGAGAGGGTGGGAGGGAGGTGGGAATTAGGGGCACTTTGGGGGTCTCCTTTTAGTCAAAAGCAGGAAAAGGACAAGAAAGAGAAGATTAAAACTCAATGTTTCCTTTGATAGTGTTAAACACTAAAATTTTAAAAAAGACATAAAAAGAAAAAAATCTTTGTAAAATGCGAGAACAGAAGCAAAAGACACTACGCTCTGTCATTTTATCTTTCTTTTGTTGAAAGACTAAAAACGTAAATGTTTTTTAGACAATCAAATGTTAGGTAAGTGCAAAAACTTGTTTTTTCTTACTGGTGTAGAAATTAATGCCTTTTTTTATTTTTCAGTTATTTTATAATAACGAAATAAAAAGAACCCCCCAGCTGCCAGGCGGGTTTTGGTGTTTGAAATGCGGGGCAAAGCACTACATCACTGCAAATAGATACAGTTAGTCTGCATGTCTGTAGGCTGTGTGATTGCGGAAAATATAAATGCTGCTAATATATTTCCTTTTTACAAAAGCATATCTAAATAGATGATTGTTTTGATGTTAATCTTTGTAAATTATGTATTACCAATTTTAACATTGGATGTAATTGCATAAAAAGCTTGCATCTCAATCCTTGAAAGTCTAGTATTAAATGGAAAAACTTTTCCTAACTGTGGTGAGCTTCCTATTATTTCCTCATTTTTACCCTCCCATCTCTCTTCTGTGATCTCCTCCAGCCTGTTTCTAAAGGGATCCTCCTAAAACCACATCTTCAGCACCCTCCCTTGCATAAGCAAGCATTCTCACACTTAATTCTCATTTAGAGCCTCCAGAGTTGGCAGCAAAAGTTTTAGACCATATTTTTAGGCCATTGTGTTTGCTTCCATTCTAAGCAGTTTACATGCATTCTTTTATTCATGTAATCCTAGCAGGCCTTCTGGTGTAGGATCGGTACTTGACTGTGAACCACAAGGTCGGCAGTTTAAACCTACCAGCTATTCCTTGGAAATCCTATACAGGGTCACTGTGAGTCTGAAACCAACTCGATGGCACTTAACAACAATAGTCCTTCAAGGTAGCTACCATATCCCAATGTTATAGTTGAGGAAACTGAAGCAACGGAAAAGTTACATAACTGGCCCAGGATCACAGAGCTGGTTAATAGTTAAAACTGCCCTCTGAAGGAAGAAGGTTAAATAACTTGCCAAAGATCACCTACTAACTAGTGTTGAGGCCAGAACTCCAAATCTATATTATCATTCACAAATACAAAAGTATGAGAAATAGCCAAAGTGACTATACTAATGAAGAAGGATAAACCCACTCCTGCTTAACAACAGCTGCAAGACCCAACAAAATCTTTGTCCAGACCTGGGTCAGATAGTCTAGTCTAGTTTAAATCCAGAAACAACAAGACAAGCTGACTGTAGTCTCTACTCCTGCAAGAACTTTGGTTCAAGACTGGATCCAGATGCCACATTGTTACAGAGATCTTTTCTCAACAGTAGTTTTTTTGTGTGTGCCCATTCCAAAGAGAGGTAATGCAACAGAATGCGAACATCATCAGACAATTCTTTGATATCCCATGCAAGTAAAGTTTTACTAAAGGTAATACAGAAATGGCTGCAAGCATACATTGACAGAAAATTTCCAGCGGTTCATGCGGGATTCAGAAAAGGCCGTGGAACGAGGGATTTCATTGCTGATGTCCAATGGATCTTGGCTGAAAGCAGAGAACATCAGGAAGATGTTTACCTGTGCTTTATTGACTATGCAAAGGCTTTCGATTGTGTGGATCATGACACGCTATGGACAACACTGTGAAGTATGAGTATTCCGGAACACTTATGTGCTCATGAGGAATCTGTACCTGGACCAAGAAGCAGTTGTTCAAACAGAACCTGGGAACACTGAATGGTTTAAAATTTAAAAAGGTGTGCGACAAGGTTGTATTCTTTCACCATACTTATTCAACCTGTATGCTGAGCAAATAATCTGAGAAGCATGGTTCTATGAAGAAAAACGTGGCATCAGGATTGGAGGAAGACTCATATTAACAAACTGCGATATGCAGATGATACAATCTTGCTTGTTGAAAGTGAAGAGGACTTAAAACATTTACTGATAAAGATCAAAGAGCACAGCCTTAGGTATGGATTGCATGTCAATGTCAAGAAAACAAAAATCCTCACCACTGGACCAATAAACAACATTCTTATCAATGGAGAAAAGATTGAAGCTGTCAAGGACTTCATTCTTCTTGGATTAACTACCAACACTCATGAAAGCAGCAGTCAAGAAATCAAACGACATATTGCATTAGGCACACATGCTACACAAGACCTTTTTAAAGTGTTGAAGAGCAAAGATGTCAGCTTGAAGAGTAAGGTGCGCCTGGACCCAGCCATAGTATTTTCAATAACATATGCATGCAAAAGCTGGACAATCAATTAAGGAAGACCATAGAAGAATTGATGCATTTGAATTATGGTGTTGGAGGAGAATATTGAAAGTGCCATGGGCTGCCAAAAGAACCAAGAGATAGATCCATTTTGGAAGTGCAGCCAGAGTGCTCCTTGGAGGCCAGGATGGCCAAACTTAGTCTATCATACTTTGGACCTATTGCCAGGAGGAACCAGTTGTTGGATATCATGTTTGGTAAGGTGGAGGAAGACCCCCAATGAGATGGAATGGCCAAGTGGCAGCATCAGTGGGCTCAAGCGTGGCAACAATAGTAAGGTTGGCCCAGGATCTGGCAGTGTTTCCTTCTGCTGTTCTTAAGGTCGCTATGAGTTGGTACTGACTCCATGGCACCTAACAACAACACTTTTCTCTGGTGGTGCTTCAAATGCAACATATGCAAACTAAATGACTACAACTTAATCTACGCCATTCCCTCTTTTTGTGTCCCCTATTGTTAAGTGCCTTTAAGTCAGTTCTGAGAAGTGGTTGGTGAGTGTGACCATCAACCTTGCAATGTAAACCAAACTTGCGGTTCAGCGTTCATCCTACAGCGCCATACCAGGGGTTCCTGATCCCCCATGTTTACCCAGGCTCCTGGCATATAACTAATAAAACAATCAAGTCTCAGATTAGAGAGGCACTTACAAGAGTCAGGCACCAATCTGGCCACTGGTCACTTCCCCTTCCTCACAACATTCAGAGTCATTCTTGGGAAGGAAGTATCTCCTTTGAGCCCCTCATAAGAGGTCCTCCTTCCTTTTGCCTGAGCTTAGGTCTTAAAACCCACAGTAATACACACACATTCAATTCCCACTCTTTATTGGGGCAAAGGAGGAAGGAAACAGACCACCACTACAGGCCCACCCACCAGGGGTGCCCAGGCTTCAGTACCTAGTACAGCGTGCATGAGTGGTCAATAAATACAGATAGTGTGGAGTGGTTGGAGCAGGGGAGGTTCCATACACAGGAAGGAGGCTAGATGCCCTTCTAGTCTCAGGAGCCAAGACATATACAGTACAGGCACAGTCCAGTTAACAGATGAACAAGGTAGAGAGGGCGCAATTTCCATTTTGCAGATGGGAAGATGCTCCCTTATAGAAATAGGAAAGAGATTACATGGGGGAAAGTTCTTTTTACATATTTGGAAGAAGGGCAGATTTCACCTTACAGATGACTGTGAGAGTGAAGAAGGAAAGTGTATTTTAAATATCAGAAATGAACATGAGAGAATGGCATGTTGCTTCTGGGATTGGTTTACATGGATTAGTGCTCATGGGCTATTCCATTCCCAGGGGACATATGCAAGAAAGGGACCCAGGGCTACAGAATAAGGGAGGTATATCCTACAGGCACTAGCCCCTCCGCTCCATCCCTCCCACAGCGAAGCCAGTCTTCATCCACTGTGGCGATGACACGCAGCACCTCCCCACGCTGGAAGCTCAACTGGTCCGGTCTCGCAGCGGTGTGGTCACAGAGAGCCCGGACTGCCCTGAGAGGAGCCAGAGGGGGTAAAGTGAGGGAGGCAGCTGCCTCCAGGCCTCACCTCTTCACTGTGTGGTTCAGTTCAGTGAACTCTGGGCTCTAGAAGAGACTTAAGGACCATGGATCTATCAAGCACCTGGTGCCCCAGCTTTCTTCTGAACTCCCAAACCCTATCTTAAGCTGTTTGATGCTATTTACACTTTTCTCTGGTAGTGCTTCAAATTCAGCAAAAACAAACTAAATGATTCTACCTTACCCCTCTACACCAGTCCCTCTTCTTGTGTCTCCTATTGTTAAGTGTTGAGTAGGTTCTAACTCATAGCGACTCTGCCTCGAGTTTCCGAGGTTCACCTGGTGGATTTGAACCACTAAACTTAGGGTTATCAAGTTCGGTGCTTATCCTATAGTGCCAAATCAGGACTCCATGTCCCCTATAGTAGATCTTATAAATACTAAGTGGCACCATCTTTTACCCAGTTGCTCCTTGCAAAACCCAAGTACCTCCTAACATTCAATCCACCACTTGTTTGGTATTTAGCATCTATCTCCTAATTCTTTCTCTTCAGTGCCACTGCCACTATCCGAGTTTAGGCCTCTGTCCTCTGAACTACATATAATCTAACTGGTCTCTCAGATTCCTCTTGGCCTCCCTCCCCAGGTCCATTCTCCACTCAGCAGAGATCTTTTGAAAACACAATCAGGCACATCACCCTTGTAGCTCCCACTGCCTCAGAATTAAGTTCAGGCTCCTTCACTGACCCACTGGACCCTCCAGGCTTCCTAGGGTCCTGCTGTCAGCATCTTCCAATCCAGGCTAATGTACACACACTTGGGCCTCTCTATTTTTGCATCCCGTCCCCTGCCTAATGTATACCCTCATACAATGACTGAGCTTCCCTGAGCTCTGAAAGCTGGAGTAGAAGCCCTGTCTATGTGACTCCAAAGGACTCAGTCTTCCTTTCTTAGAGTCTCTGCCATACAAAACTGACTGCCCATTTATTAATCGGCATCTTTCACTGGCCTACCCAGCTCCTTGAGGGCAAGGACTTCAATGTTTACCTTTGCATTTCCAACCCTAACATAATGCTTAAAACATAATCAAAACTCAGAAAACACTGCTGAAGATGAGGACATGGAGACAGGGAGCAGCTGAGGACTCTAGATTCATGGAAAGAGAGGGACTGAGTCCTGGAGGCCATGAGGCAGGCTTGCAAAATGTGCCTTTGGTTGTTTAAATGACTACATATTCCTGAGTGTTTCTGTATACATACCCCGACTCCACCCCACCCCAACCCCCCAAAAAAACAAGGAATGGAAGCAAATACTGTCGAATGATGATGCAGAGAGGAGATTGTAATCATTGCAATGAAACAAAACTGATGTTCTCCCATGTAAACTATCACTCAGTTCACAATTAAAAAAAAAAAATGCTGAATGAATGACAAATCAAGACGCTTACTTTAATGGACTGAGAGAACCCAAAGAAAACAAGACCCCCAAAATAGAAGTAGCACATGGCACCATTTTAGAAGACCCCACTAAATGGAAGCATAGTCCCTCAGTGGGTACACACAGGCACATTTTATTGTACACAGTAAAAAGTGGTCACTAACTGGGCACATATTATGTGCTAAATGCTTTTATGAAATTCCTTAGTCTTCATTACAACCATTAAATAAAAAATATCATTCTCCTTTTTACAGAGAAAGAAACTGAGGCTCAGAGATTATTGTTATGCAAATAGGTAAGAAAGAAGCAATGCAAACTAAGTAGTCTAATCTGCCTGTTAAAGCCCAGGGTCCTTTCCATTACCTCCCATCCCCTTGGTGAAGAAGGAAAGACACACACACAACACATGGTTACACCCCTGTGCACTGTCCCTTTCCTTCTTACCTGTGGGGTTGTGCTAAGCGGGGAGATGAGGTGTCAAGTTCCTCGGGAGAAGGAGTCTCAGGAAGTGTCCCCCGCTTTACCAGCGCTAACACACTCACTGTGGCGGGCAGCCAGCTGGATGGTCTCCTAGAGGTAAGGAGATAGACTTACAGGCACTACCCCACCTCCAGATAGACTCCATGGAGGGACAGAGAGGCTGAAGGGTTCAAAAGCAATCAGGAATTGGTCATTACTGAGGGTGCAGTAGCAGGTGTGAGGCACACATACCTTTAGGATAATTAGGAAAGTGACACTAAAGGTCACATAAGGGGCCTGGGGAACTGATGGGGTCTATACAGGAGTCTGTACAGATTCAGAAGGTCACTAGAGGGGACCAGAGGCCACTAAAGAACCAACAGTTATGCCCAGGAACAAGAGTGAGCATGCTTTTTTTTAAAGGACCAGATAGAAAAGTTGGCGTATTTTAAGCTTTTAGAGCCAAGAGCCATTTAAATGTAACCATTTAAAAAATGTAAAAACCATTTTCAGTTCATAGCTGTAGAAAAACAGATTGCCAACCTCTGCCCTAAAGGATCACTAAAGAGTTTCATATTTGGGCCATGGAGACTTGGAGAGGGTGTTAGAAAGTAAATGTGGGGGTTTGGCACTCTGTTACCTAGACTTTAGGGTTCCACTTTCAGTTTCCATGGGACCTCCAGGAACTCCAAACAGTCTCCCCAGCCACATGCCCCTGCCTGGAGCTGCTGCTTCTGTGGGCAGGGATCTCTCCTGTGTGCCCTCAGCTGCAGTCCCATGATGCCTGGGTCCCCACCGGGGAAGGGGAAAGCCCTCAGTGCCCCCAGAGGTATAGACTCGGGAGGCCTGGGTCAGCTGCTCCCACCAACTGCCTGTTGTAGGAGGGTTTCGGGAGTCTGTGGGGCCCAGGGGGGCCTCCCCGGAAGTGCCCCGAAGGCTCTGGGCCAGCCGGCCCCCCCAGTGTAGCAGGGCCTGCATAGTCTGCTGCAGGGCTGGAGGTGGATCTGGGGATGCAGAGGCCGTAGACGGGCCCAGGGGTAGGTGGTGGTGATGCTCAAAGAGCAGGTCCAGGTGGAAGGTGAGCACCGACAATGGCTGCAGCAGGAGCAGCAACTCCGTGGACAGGGAGGGACAGCCACTCCGAGCCAGGGAGAAGAATCCCGTGGGCAGATACAGGAGGGACAGCAGGCCTGGGAAACAGCAAGTCAACATTAGTCCCTGCTTACCAGTCAACAAACATCTTCCCAGGCCTCGCTCTGCTGGGCCCTGGGGTTGGGGAGGGGGAATGTGGTAGGGCACAGAACTGATACAACCTTGTCTGTGTGATACCAAAGCCTAGAGTGGAAGACACACATAGAGCCAGTGGTGACACATAACAAGTAATAGGGTAAAGGCCAGGAAGGAGAATAGCGTGGGGACCATGGGAGCATTCACAAACCTGGGCTGGGGGCTGGCCTAGTCTCAGAAGGGCAACAGCATATGTCAGGGGCAGAAAGGACCAAAAAGGACAAATGTAGGTAGGACCAGCAAAAGCCTGGAGCTAATGGCAGGAAAGAAGTCAGAGGCCAGATGATCAAGGCTTTGGAAGCCACAGTAAGGATTTGGGGCTTCCTCTTCCAGTCAATGGGACTCCTTGGAAGAGTTTTAATTAGAAGAATAGCAGATGGGGATTAAGAAGACCATTTTGGCATCAGTGGAAACTAGCAAGGGATACCTTCCCTTCCCTCTCTCACAGCCCAGAAACCTTGACCCTTCCCTCTGAGCCTCTGACCTGCATCTTCCTGGAGACTGGAAAACCAGAGTTCCAATTGCTTAGTGCTGGGGAGAAAGAAGGAACAGAAGTTCACTAAACTGGGAGCTCTAGCACTCTCTGAGTGGCAAATGGGAAATGAACTGGGTGCAGGGAGACCCTCTCTGGGAGCATGGAGCACCACTCTTGTGTCCCACCCACAAAGCAACTTTGGCCCCCAGGCCATGGGAGGAACCCCAGAAAAGAGATAGCCACTTACTTGAGGAGACCCAGGATGAAGGCATGGAAGCGGCTCCGACTGCTGCTCAGCGGGGCCAGACGGCTGATCTGGCTGTACAGAGCGCCCAGGGAACGGGTACTGGAGCCTGAGAACATCTGGGATGGTTAGTCAGGTCCCGGCTTGGTCCCAGTGCAAGTCCCTCACCCTCTTCCCTCACCTGGCTTCACAGACGCCTCCACGACACTCCAGGGACTGCTCCTACGCTGCCCAGTGATGAGGTCCTTCCGGAAAGGCTTCAGCCCATCGGCCACCAGGGCGTGGAGGGCCGGGCAAAGGGTGGTCAGCACCAGGTGCCCCACATCTGGGCTCAGCCGGCTATCCCCCAACTGGGCCTGCGGGCAGCGAAATGTGAAAGGTTCAAGAGATGCCCTTTCCGTGACCTCTGGCCACGGGCCCCCCTAGCTCCTTTAAGACCACACACACAGGCACAAGCCTTCCCTCAGCCACTGTATTTACCTTCTGAACCAAGTTCCGGGCGGCCCCAAAGTGTGAAATGATTTTATCCACCGAGGCACTGACGGCTATCAGGAGACCTGGTGGCAGGGAAGCGGGGTGGTAGGAAACATCAAAATCCTCTCCCCCCTTACTGGGCAAGAACGCCCAAGGGACTCCTCCCCCGTCCAAGAAAACATTAAGTTTTCTTGGTTTATGTAACTTGGAGTCGGTACAAGGAGGGTCGACGCGAAGGGTAGTTCATTAAGAGGCTAGGCGTCAGAAAACAGAGATGTTGTACCTTTTTTCTGCTCCTGCAGCTGGCCAGTCCCACTCTGGGCTTCTGCCATCCACAGCCGCTGGGCCCCGGGGACACCGGCGAACGACCAGGAACTACGGACTGGGATGAGGGAAGAAGGACGGGATGACACTTACCGCGGGGTGCCCCAAGGACGCCGTGCTTCCACACTGATCATCTCCTGCTGGTGTGCAGTGCCCTTGGCTCTGAAGAGTCTCTCGGAGAAGGGGCGCAGGGCCAGGGGAAGCACGGGGCAACTCGACCAGGGCCTCCGGGATGAAATCCCATTGCCTCCCGGATTCCCATTTCCCTCTCTTGGGGTCCAGATCCCACCTCCACGTTCCCGAAAGTCCCAGACTTAGGATAGCAGCACCTGCCCTCCCCCTCCCAAAGGGCTGGAGCTTGTAGGGCAGAATCCGATAGGGCAGGGAAGGCGGGGCAGTACTTCACCCCACCCCAGCCCGCCTCTGGCCTACGGAGGCCAAGCGAGCACATTGGAAGTGTGGACCAATGGAAAGACACACACACTGGAAAGGGCGGAGAGAAAAAGGGAGACCAGACCCAAGGATCAGGAGGCTAAAAGGCACCGGAAGTGGGAAACCCCTTCCACGTCAGCATCGCGACAGAAGGCGCCCCCTGCAGCCCACGAGGGGCTGGCCTATTGGGTAGGGTATGGCCAGAACCTCTCCAGCCAATAAGCTCCAGGAAGCGTGTCCCTCCACGCTTCCCAGCAAGGTGGGGGTAAGGCCTAAACTGCCTGGCCCCAGACAGCGGGCAGTCTGGGACTCCCTAGACTGTCCTCATCCACTACACCTCAGACGGACCTGAAGGGTGAGGTCGGGTCACCTATCCTAGCTCGAGGAGTGGGCTCAGAACTTGCTTCAAATCAGATTAGCCTAAGGGGAGGGGCCAGGCCGGGTAAAGCTTGAAAGAGCTAAAACTGAGCACCAAAAGAGGCTAGGAGGGACCGGGGAGTGGCAAGGGTGAGGTATTGGAGTGGGCGGGGTTGCTCCGCCTCCGGGCAGGCCCGGGTCAGTCTTACGTAGCCTGGGCGGAGGCGGTGGGCTCCTGATCCAGCGAGGGGCCTTCGGCGGACGAGGTGGCGGTGGCAGCGGGGGGGCGGGTACCTGGCGGGGTGGGGGAGCTGTGGCGGGGAAGGTGCTACTTCTGGGAAAGAGCGGGGACAGCAGCAGTGCCAGTTCAGGGCTGGCCAGGCAGGGCAGGGCCCCCCGAGCCGGAGGCGAATAGGCTCCCACTGGGGACAGGCGGACAGGTAGCAGCTGCTCCTCTTGGGGGCTCGGAGCCCCCAGCAGCCGCAGCCCAGCGCTGGGCCAGCTGGCCAGAGGTGCCAAGAACAGAGACCCAGCTGCACCCGTGCCCCCACCCTCCAACAGGGGGCGCCCGTCGGCCGAGAACCGGAAAACTAAGGACCGAGGGAGCAGGAGGGGACTGGCTGCAGGCGGGGTTGGCGGGGCAGGCGTGGAGTGGGAGGGGGTTGAGCGGGACAGGCAGCCAGGCGAAGAGGGGCAGGAGAAAGAGGGAGCAAAGAGTTAGTCCCGTAACCCAGTCACCCACCCAGACCTTTTCCCGGAGCATTCCCTGATAGAAAGGGACAGGGAGGATGAGTGACACAGAATGGAAAGGAAATGGGGCCGATTGAAGGCTAGGAAGGGTGTGAGCGTGGCGGAACGAAGCCCAGCCCTCCTCCCCTTCCTCTCCTGGCCTCTTACCCTCGAGGCTGGCCTGTGTGCAGCGTTCCTCGGTCTCCTTCGCAGCTGGGGCCTCCTCGCCAGCAGCAGGGCTGCCTGTTCTACCTTCCTCGGGCTGCCCCTCAGCTATGGGCTGCAGCCCTTGCAGCCCTGGTCGGTTCTTCTTCCTCCGGGGAGGCACAGGTGGGGGTGGGGGCTTGGGAGGGACCAAAGCCCAGCCAGCTGGGGGGTCTCGGGGCGGCACTGGCAGAAGCGGGGCCCGGCTTCTGGACCTGAGTTCTTTGAAGGTAGTGACCTCTCGGTGAGGCACCGTGGAGCTGCCCAGTGATCCGGTAGGGGGCAGCTCGGTATCGGGTGAAAAGACGATGAGCCAGTCGCTACGATCCTTCTTAGCCTGCGGCACGAGGGGCAGCCCTGGGCCCCGCTTGCGTTTCTGGGCCAGCTCATGGAAGGACGTGATTGTCCGGTGGGGCACTGGCTCCTCGTTGACGTCACTTCTCCACCCCCCATCAGTTTTCCCAGCATCGGTTTTCAAGTCAAAATTAGTTAGTCCCTCATTGGTTTTCCAATTGGAATCAAGTTTACCAGGTTCTGTTTTCCAGCTGGAGTTAATATTCTCATTTATTTTCCAACCAGAGTTATTGTTCTCAGTTATCTTCCAGCCAGCCTCCGTTTTCTCTGTGTCAATTTTCCAAATGGGGTTGATTTTCCAACTGGGCTCTGTTTGCCCAGGATCGATTTTGCCATCATCCACTTCTGGGAGCTCGGAGGTAGGGAGATCCTGCTCTCCGCCCTCATCTTCTTCTTCCAGCCCTGGTGACAGAAGGTCCTGACTGGTGGTCAGAGCGTTGCAGTTGGAGTCTAGGCCAGGGCCTGGTGGGGTGGAAGCTCCAGAGCCAGAATCAGGAGAGCAGCAAAAGCTATCTGGTGAGCAGGCAGCAGGACCTGCTGAAGCTAGCTGGGAGCCTTGTTCCAGAGGGATGATGCTGGGTTTCGAGTGGACATCCACAATGCCAGGGAGGTCCCGTGAGTAGACTGAGACTGGGGACTCATCAGGGCTGAGATCGGAGCAGGAACTGAGAGAGGATGAGCATCCCGGGTCCGAGGGAGAAGCAGCTCCCTCTTCCTCCTGCGAGGGGTCCTGCCGGTTTTCTAGGTTTTCTAGGCCAGACCCGTGCTTTTGGCAGCAACGGCAGGGTACGGCAGGGCTGTTGGAATTGGCGTCCACTATGGTCCCACTACAGGGGACTCTGCTTTCTTTGCCCCCTGTGTCCCCTGGGGGAGGTGGTGTGCTCAAGGGCCCCTCCCTTAACTCGGGACGACGGGACAAGTGCAGGCCCAGGGAGACGTGCTGGAGGTGGATGTGGTTGAGGTTGCAGAGTAAAGCCCTCTGAGGGGATAGCATGATGTCGCAGCGATGGGATGGCCTCGAGAGTGTCAGGACCGCTGGTCCTCACATCCACCTACCTGGCAACCGCAGATGCAGACCTAGAAAACGGGTGGTGAAACCCAGCCAGTGAGGGCGTAACCACAGGAAGGACAAAAAGGTGACTGGCCAGGCATGGGAAGATGCCGGATGCTTTGGAGGATATTTACAAGAGATACAAATGGACATCGATTGGCCATTAGTTTCCACTGCAGTGTTTGGAGGTGGAGTCGAATGTATACCCTCTGGGAATGGTGGGGGGGAGGGTCAGAGAATGCGGCTGCGTTCTAGTTCTCCGTGGGGATGCGGGGGCTTGAGGATGGGCCCTGGAATGGACCCCTCATACTCTCTGCAACAATCTAGCCCAGCCCCAGCCTGCCCCTAGCTCCCACAGGAAGGAATCAAGGGAGGCCCAGCCCATATGCTTTGAAATGGGGCTTTGAAACGCGACGGCGTTTGTCTGGTTAGTACAGGAAAGGACGAAGGGTAATGAGCAGCCGTCAATTTATCAATTCAGAAATTTGCAGACCACCCGCTCCCACCCAGCCAGGTCCAACCTGCAACTGCGGTGAGCCCTCACCCCGCCCCACCCGAGCACCACTGTGTCTGTCCATCCTTTTCTCCATAATCCAGTCGCCACTCCATCCCTTCCCGGTTCATTTCTATTCCCCTTTTCTGCCTCACCCCACATACCCCGTTCCTTCCATCCACACCACGGACCAGGCCCTCCTCACCAGGGTCCTCTTGCAAGCGTTCCTAGCCTTGGGCTCGTCGACTGCTCCCACGGTACCCGCCCGGCCCTGCACAGACTAGAGGGGAGGAGGGAGGGAGAGGCGGGGCGCTAGGACTACCCGCCTGGTGGCGCTGCGCAGCCGCACCCATTTACGCAGAGTGGGCGGATCCTGGACCGCCTGCCTCCCCATCAGTGTTTGTTGTCTTCTCAGGGAGGTCCACCTAGACCCAGATCGCTAGTTTTGTGTATTCTAAGGCTCCACACTGCTGTCGGTCCCTAGGGGCCATGGTGCTTCTGAGCAGCTTCCCCAACCCCACCATTGCAGACAGAGCCAGGCAGCTGGTATAAACACGAACAGAACCACAAGAAGGTTACACAATAATTTATTGAGAACCTCCCCTCCTAGCACCTCCGTCTCTAGGTCACTTTTTCCGCTTGTAGATCTTGTGTGCTAGCCCCAGGTAGATGGCCGGGGGCAGGGGAGCAGCGTACTGCTCGATGAGACTTTTAAGGGTGCTGAAACTGTCTTCCTCGTACTGCTTGAACACAGCAGGCAGCGCCATCTCCTCATACATTGCCTTCACTCGGGCCACCTTCTCGGTTTCCTTCTGCCCGTAATTCTCCTGGAATGAATTGGAGACAGGAAGATGGGCTTTGTCTTCCCTCAGCACTCCAGGGCTTCTCCATACTCCCATTGTCCATCTACATATCACAGAATATCTCCTAGGCCATTCACCATTCATTCTAGTTCTGCCTCCAACTCCAAGTAATCTGGGTGTCTAAATTATTTTGAGCCAGTTAATTTTTTTGTTGTGGGGTTGTCTGTGACATCACAGTATGTTTAGCAGCTCCCTGGCATCTACACACTTGCACATACTCCCCTACCCCCACCAAGTTGTGATTGCAAAATATATCTGTAGACATGGCCAAGGGGGACAAAATCACCCCCAGTTGAGCACCTCAGGAACCCAACACCCTCTCCTGAGCACCTGCAAGATCTGGCGTTGTTCTGGAGTGGCCCGTTGCAGGCACTGAACCACCAGCCAGCTGCATTTATTGTCCTGGATGTCAGTGCCAACCTTGCCTGTCACACTGGGGTCACCAAAGAGGTCAAGGTAATCATCCTGCGCAAAAGGGCAAAAGAGAAGGGATGAAGAAACTTCCAGACCAGGAAGAAACAAAGTTGGTATCTATTCTCTACCAGTGTCTCATGCCTTCCTACCTGAATCTGAAAGAACTCGCCCATCTCCAACAGGATCTTCTTGGCATTGGCATGCTCCTTCTCCCCATCAATGCCCGCCTACAGAAAAGAGAAGGCTGAGAAGTCAAACCCCAGAGGGGTCATCAATTCCTTTTAACTGCTTCCTCCTATGTGGTCTTGCCTTTGTTGCTGTTAAGTACCATGGAGTCTATTCTAACTCATAGCAACCCTGTAAAAAGGTTTCCAAGGAGTGACTGGTGGGTTTGAACTGTGACCTTTCAGTTAACATTAACAATTCAGTGTTCATCCTGTAGCGCCATACCAGGACCCCAGTCTTGCCCTTGTGCAGATCTAAAACCTCTCTCTCCTCCTTTCTTCTCAGATATTCCTGGCTTCCCTAAGCTAGGAAATCCAAAACTCCCATTTATTTTTGCTAGGCCTTCATAGGAATCAAGATTTGAAGAATTTAAGACTCCATTCTGAAGGTCCTCAGGCCATCTTCTCTCCGTAATTCTCCTGGAATGAATTGGAGACAAATCTCAGTCCCCACATCACTGTGCTCCATCTCCCCAATCGTTTCGTCACCATCAACTGTTTTTAAGCTAGAAAGAAACCTTGGGGAAGCAAGGTCAGAGCAGGCAATTCATTACCTGACTGCCTTCACATTCTGTCTCTGCCTTTCTCCTCTCCTTACTAAGATGCAACATTTGTGTACGCTTCCCAGATTCCTTGCTCACTTTGCTTTCCTTCCCTTTCCGGGCAATCCTAGGTATCCCCTGTGCCCTCCTGCCCAAAAGTCTCCATCAGCAGGCAGTGAGGGATGGAGGAGAGACTCACTTACCATATACATTGCCGCAGCCACAGGAAGGTAAAAAGAGTAGAAAGCTGTCTTGTACTTGACAATAGATTTATACCTGAGTTGGGGGAGAAGATAAACTCTTCAGAAGAACAGTGCCCACCCTGGACCCTCCCTTACTGTCCAGGCATGAATTCTGTCCCTCACCTCTTTTCAGTGAATCTGCCAAGATCCACGTTGCCCTGGGGGGCAGTGATGAGGTCCAGGGTCTGTCCAATCTCAGTCTGATAGGAACTCTGAGGAGGTAGAAGATGGTCCATGAGCTGAGCCATCTCCTAGGACTAAGAACCCTGCCAATCCTGGATTCCACATCCTATACCAGCTAACAACTGTGCAGAGGAACATTTATGCATACACATAGTTTTGTCACTGTTTCTTCCATTCACAGAGAGACAGAACAGCTCTCCTTGCCACCTCAACACTACCCTTCCCAACTCCCTTCCTTGCTTTGCTTTCTTTCCTCTTTCAAGAAACCCAAGATATCTCCTATGCCCTGAAACCAGCTTGATGACAATGTCACATTAAAGTCAAGTCTACTGTGGGCCACCCCTGGGATTAGCCCTGCTCAGCAGCACACCTGCAAGAAGAGCTCAATCAGATTCAGATAATAGGGCTGTTCCCGGCAGTACAGCTTCAGCAGGCGGTAGATACACGCTTCCAGCAGCAAGGAGTCATTGATGGCATCCAAACCTATGCCTGGCTGTTGGGACCAGAGAAAAATGAGCAATCAATCTGTGGCCTAGACTAAATACCAAGAACCATGACCCAACACACATCATTCAGGCCCTAGATGAGCACCTCCCTGTAGCCTCTTCCCACAGCCTCTTCCTACCTCCTGCCCACTTTACCTTCTGATACCAGCAGGGCTGCCCCCGTCGGGTAAGGGATGCATCCATAATGTCGTCTAATACCAGGAAAAAAGCTTGGAGCTAGAAAGACAAGGTAGAATGGGGGTAAGACCCACAGGCTCCTTACTGTTGCTTCTACTAAAGACAGAGCTAATTTTTATAATCACATGTGGCTGCAAACTCACCCAGCAGTTCTGTAGGAGAAAGACCTGGAAATGTGAAGCAATTCTACACTATCACATGGGATTGCTATAAATCAGAAGCCACTTGACAGCATACAATAATGTGAGATGGGAAAGAATGTCAGGATGGGGAGACCAAGCACATCGGTTGTGGGCTATGGAATCTTGGGAAGTTATATGAACTCTTTTGGTCCCATTTATAAAATGGGACTAAATTGTGCTCTTGCTTTCATAATTAGAAACTTACAGATCAGCCCTACATAATCCCTGGCACCAGGGAGATTATGGAACACATTCACATACCGTACTCTTGCCAAAAACCTCAGCGGATAGTCAGAATAAGATTGCTCCATGCAGTGTGACTGTACATGACGCCTGATACAATGAAGGCTGTTCTTGTATCATCCCCAGGCACTTGGTTTAAACACTTCAACGACCAGGAATACAGCCCTACCTGAGGCAGCCCATTTGAGGCTGCAAATCTAATAGAATAGAGATGAAGTCTGACTCCTGATAACTTTTACCCATGGGTCTCAGTTCTGCACCCTTGACTATCAGCAAGGAACTTACTCTTCTGAATACCAGCCAATTTGAAGGTAGCTGAACATGTCCATTTCCCTACTAGATTGTGAATACCTTAGATTCCAGGATAGCTTTTTCCCTCTTGTTGTTCCCAGGGCCTAAAACAGCACTAGCCCCAGACTGGGGTTCAATAAATCTTTGTCAAGTACATGAAAGAATGAAAACTCTCAAGTCCCCCATGATAGGTGTTTCTTGCAATCAGGCTACACACTGTTTTCTTAAGCAGCTTTTCAAGGCAGAGTTTTCAAATCCTCATCCTATCCTGGTCCCTGTGTGCCACCTGATGCATCAGCACTGCCTATTGGCTCAAGTGGGGGTGGTCTAGAAAAGGACAGCAACTACTTTTCTGGTTCCAGGTGCAGACCTTCAGGAAGGAGGCATTCATCCACATGTGACCTCTGATCCCGTGTCAAGCCACCCAGGGGTGGGGATGGCAGGGGAATTTCATTTCAGCCACCACCACTCAATTCTTCTAAAGTTTTGTCTTTGTCTTCCTTGATATCATCTGCAGTGTTCTCGGTCATTCTCTCAATCTGTTGAAGGGACCTAAATATCATTCTTCTAAATTCCTTATCAAGTAGTTCTGATACCATTTCTGGTATTGTATTTTCTGATTCTGAATTTTGGTCACTTGTTTGAAGCATTCTGTCTTGTTTCTTTGTATATGCTGAAACTGTCTATTTTCTCCAAGACATTGTGGTGGAGGTATATTTATATTTCACTGATGATTATTTACTCAGGCACTCACCACCTGGTGGATATGATAGAGACTAGAAGTGTGAATGCAGTTCTCCGTTCACTGTTTGTGTAACATAGTTCAAGGCGAGTTCACGAGCCTCCAAATGGTATGCCCAACATTGGCCCCAGGCAGAGCAGGAACTGCAAAGGAGGGGGTGCCAGTGGCCATTGGGTTGGCAAGGAAGGGGAGACTGGAGGTTATGGGGGAACAATAGCCCCCTTGCTGTCAACTCCTGCCATGTCCCATGTCCCCAGGCAACTAGGTCACTATATAATCAACAGCCACCAGAAAAAGCTCAAGATGGCTAAGCTGGTCTAAGCCAGCTGGCAGTCCACCCGTTTTTCTTATCTCTCACTGCTCCTTTTCAGCATCCTCCTCCAGCCAGCACTGAATCCAACTGTCTTATCCTCTGAAGCTCAGGGTTTCTAGGGTCACCATCCATATATTACACTTCGTCTCTCAAATTCTAATTGCAGAGAGTCTGCTCAGCACGCCTGCCTACTCCACCATTCTCCCCTCTAGCAATCATTCCTAACACCAATGCAACATCATTTTATCATGATGCAACAGAGAAAAGATTGAAATTGTCCAAGTTTTCATTTTATTTGGAATCATAATCAATGTCCAGAGACTCAACAGTCAGGAAATCAAGCCACTGATTGATATAACTGGACAAATTTGCTGCATTTTCAAGTGTTAAAAAGCAAAGATGTCATTTTGAGGACTAAACTGCACCTGACTCAAGCCATGGTATTTTTAATCACCTCATGTACACGTGAAAGCTGAACAACTAAGGAAGACCAGAGAATAATTGATCCCTTTGGCAAAGAATACTGAAAGGACTGTCAGAAGAATGATGAAATCTGTCTTAGAAGAAGTACAGTCAGAATGTTCCTGAAAGTCAGAATGTGGACACTTTATCTCATTCATGTACTGTAGTTACTGGAGAAGAACATCATGTTTGGTCAAGTAGAAGGTCAGCAAAAATGAGGCAGACCCTCAATGACATGGACTGACAGTAGCTAAAACTATGGGTCAAGCACAGCCAATAACTGTGAGGAGGTGCAGAACCAAGCATGTTTCATTCAGTTATGTACAGGGGCCCTGTGAGTCGGAACAATTTATTTAAATGTTCAAAAACTTATCAGTGAGTAGTCACTTTTTAATCTCTATTTTAGAATAATCTTCTGGAAGGACTGTGTTAGTTCTGTGTTCCCTTCTCAGAGCACAGAGTTGAGGCTTCCCTGCCCAGCTGTATGGTTTTGGTCTACAGTTCAAATAGATACATAATGTCAAGAAGGTCCACATATTTGTTAACCTTTGGGAGTACTTTACCCTGTCTAAGTTTGACTGTAGAATACTACAGAGGCACACAAACACAATTCAGAAACCAGTTTCAGGCCCATCCCCCACCTCCCTGCCCAGGGCACCCCCTCACCAGCTCCACACACCAGCCCACAGTCATGGCCCGCTGAAGACTATCAGCATCCTGCTTCCTTGGCTCCACCAGCTCTTGGAACACAGCCAGTACCGTCAAACCTCTGTTGTACTTGCCCCCAAGGACATTGTACTCTAGGACCTGAGGGAGAGGGGACAGGATGTCAGGGTCCACACAAAAGCAACTCTGAGATTTTTCCTTGCCCTCCCCATTTCCAGTTACCATCCCCCCAACTTTATCCTCCTGACCCTAACTCCTCTTCCAGGAAGCCTCTGGAATTGTTATTCTCTTGGATCCTTACTCCAAGTCCTAGAGCCCAGCTAGAAGAGTTCCCCAGCCCCCAGGTGCTTGCTTGCTCTCTCTGATCTATAGTCCCCAGGATATTTAAAGGCTTCTTAAAAACACACAAAAAGCCCAAATCTCTTGCCATTGAGTCAATTCCAACTCATGGCGACCCTATAGGGCATGGCAGAACAACCCCATTGGGTTTCTCAGGCTGCCAATCATTACAGAAGCAGGCTGTATCATTTCTCTTCCATGGAGAGATGGTGGGCTCAAACCACTGATCTCTGGGTGAGCAGGTGAACATTTACCCACTGTGCCACCAGGACTCCTTTAAGGTTCCAGACCAAAAATCTCAAACTCACTGCCATCAAGTTGATTCCAACTCATAGTCACCCTGTACGGGATTTCTCAGGCTGTAAATCTTCACAGGAGCAGAAAATCTTATATTTCTCCCATGACACAGATGATGGGTTTGAACTGCCAACCTTGTGGTTAGCAGTCAAGTACTTATCCTATAGCTCTATCAGGGTTCCTGGTTCCTTTAAGGCTTCATAGTATAAATTAAAATCTATGTATATATATAAAAACATTTCCAGGGCTTGAAGCCAGGGAAATTCTGACCATGCTTTGGTTCAGATCCCTCCTTCTCAGATTCCTGTCTTCCCACCTCTCTTAGCCTTCCTCCTTTTCAGAACTTACTCTCCAACCAGCTTCTCCTACATACAATTCAATCCACCTACCAATCGAATCGGGCTGCAAACCTTAAGGTCAGCAGTTCAAAACTACCAGCTGTTCCATGGGACAAAGATTTATAGCCTCAGAAACCCTGTACAGGGTCGCTATGAGTCGGAACCAACTCCATGGCACATAATAACCATCACCACCAATCAATAGCTTCCCCTACTGTATTAAAGACAAGGCTCTGCCTATGTTAGACAAAGGACAGCTTGGGGCAAAGCTCATACCCCACCACTCCTCCACTGGCATCTCCTTCAGTTGGGATCTTTCACTTTGCCTTAGGCTGCCCTACTGTCAACCAGACAGAATTCACTGGGAAGATTCTTTTAATTCCCATCCCAGTGTTGTTATTGTTAAGTGCTGTCGAGTTGGTTCCCAGCACAGACAACCTTAAGCCTAGTGCCACTGAGTCAATTCTAAATCGAAGCAATCCTTGATAGGGTTTCTAAGACTCTAAGACTGAAGCAGTCAGCCTGATCTTTGTCCTGTAGAGCAGCTGGTAGGTTTGAACCACCAACCTTACTGTTAACAGCCCAGAGCCTAAACCACAGCACCACCAGGGCTCCTTAATGAAGACAATGACCTCTCTTTTCCTTGGAGTATTTGTAAAAAAATAATTTTACTAGACAATCTAAGAGAATAAAAGGAAAAGACAACCTAAGTATCACAGCAATAGTTCATGTCCTAAGCATAGGTATCTAGTGCTGCAGTAACTTCACTCAAGCCCCAAGAAAGTAGAACTACCTCAGGCTGCCTTCCTCCCTGCTCCCTACCAGGGTAGAACCTTAGGATTTCTGGACACCTAATGCCTTATTTCACTAAAGGCAAAGACTTGCCAGTCTCAAGGCCTCCACCCTATGCAGAGCAGTTTGGAAAGCTCTCTCTCTCCAGCAGAGCTAACAGGTGGGACTGATAGGCAAGATGAGTCTACCCACTTAGGCCCCACATCCTTCAGAGAACACCCAGAGTCACTCAGGTCAAAAATCTCCCACACCTAGCAAAAGTCCCCCCAAAGTCACAATACAATCTCACCCATATGCAGGGCGACCAGAGACTCCCTCCCTCAAGTCACTGTTCCCTCACCTTCCTGAGCCTAGCAATGGCGTCTCCTTTCTCCGGGTGCTCCATATCATGCTCAGTCAGTACCTTGAGAATCTGGGAGAAATGCTGGATGAAATCCTGCTTTTCTTGGGCATAAGTGTCTGATTTCTGGTTTCCATTCATTCTGAGGGTGGAGCAAAGTGCTCTGAAGAGAGGAAGGAAAAGTCAGAAACCCGACTGACTGCTTCCCTCCCCAAGGCTTCCACCACACTCACCGAGGGTCCTCTGTCCACGCTTGGCACCAGCGGCGGGCACTGTGCCAGACCCCCAGGACTGGGTATCTATGCACCAGGGAGGGCTGCTGTAGGACATGCAGCCATCTCACCTGGGGCACCCAGCAGGGGGCTGGCAGCAGGAAGGCCCCCACAGATCTCAGCCAGCGGGACGGAGGCATCGTGAGGGTGGCATAGGGAGGGGGCACCGAGTACGCCCTGCAGGAGCAAGGACCAATGGCAGATGCACGGTGACAACTCCCCAGGTCGCCCCTACCCCAACCTTTTACCTTCTGGACCAGAATACCCTATCTTCTTGTGAGTTGAACTTGGGACATTTGCAAATAGAAGGATATGCAAGAAGTTTGGCTGGGATTGTCACTAAAAATAAGACAACTAGCATTGGATGTCTTCAAGACTGTGCACATACAGCTACTGGAAGAGGGGGTACTCTAGGACTAGAGGCTGGGAGGACCATTAAGTCACTGTTATTTTACAGAGGCCAAACTGAGGCTTGAGGAGATAAACCATAAATGGGTTCCAGATCTCCCCTGGTAGGAGATAGCTCCATAAGATAAGCACAGCACTGTGAGCTACAAAGTAGTCAGTTAGAGCCCACCAGCCGTTTCACGGGAGAAAGATGAGACTTTCTGTTCCCGCAAAGATTTAAAGCCTTGGAAGCCCTACACAGGGTCGCTATGAGTCTGAACTGACTAGACAAACTTAACAACAACAGGAGATGGAGAGGGGTGCATAGAGTCTAAGAAACGCTTGCAGAAGTGGGGAGGTATTGTGGACTAATCTTTGGGTGCTGCAAGCATGTTGCCTGGAGTGCTGGGACTGTGCACATGGCCTCGTAAAAAAATTCCTCTGGGAGAAACTTGAGCGAGCGAACAGGGGAGGTTCACAGCAGAGGAGCAAATCGGGGTCCCGGTATAATGGGAATATCAGGAACGCACACGGGCAGGGCTCGGGAGTTTCCTCACGCCCAGAGGACCCACCCGATCTCCAAAGTGGAAGAACCTCAACGCAAGTGACTTGGTTTCCAGCTCCTCTGAGTATCGATAAAGTGGAAGGTCCGGTCTCGAACCCAAGTATCCAGTCCCAACCCCGCGACCTCTCTCACCTGTTCCTGGATGCTGGATCTTGCTTGAATCAAACAGTTGGCAGAGTACTCCTAAAAACCAAACTCATCCAGCGCTCAGCTTTCTGGGTCGAGTAGTTCTCGATCTACCTTCACTGTTGAGGGAAAGGCGTCATTTAACTACAACTCCCGGAATGCCCCGGGCAGGATACAACGCGATCTAGCGTGGGCTGATAAGGCGGAGGGGCAGCCATGCTGATTGGCCTAGCACCCTCGTATGAGCATGGGGCCCTGTGACGGACGACCAATGGAAGGGCTTTGCCCTAGCGGCCTTCCCGGGGAGGGCGGGACCTTCCTGGGGCCAAGTTGGGCTGGAGCCAACGCTGTGCGTCCTTGGGAAAGACCCAGTCAGGGAACGCCCACGTCCCGCCTCTACTTGCTTCCTTCCCCCTTGTCTACTTTACCCTACGTTTAACTTTTTATTTTCTGCCTATACTGCTGGACAGCATTTTAGAAAAGCCCAGTTTTTACAATTTATACTCTGACTGGGAAACATCATTTCCCTACTTTGATCCTCTGTTAATTTCCAGTTGCCATGGAGTTGACACCAAATCATGGGGACCTCATGTGTATCAAGTATTCCAAAAGTTTTCAATGGCTGATTTTTCAGAAGTAAATAGCTATGCCCTGCCTTTCTTTTGAGGCACCTCTGGGTGCACTAGAACCTCAAATCTTTTGGTTAGTAGCTGAACACATTAACCTTTTGCACCACCCTAAAACAGGCTTTCTTCAGGAGCAGAAAGCCTCATCTTAATCCCGCTGAGCAACTGGTGAGCTTGAGTCACCAACCTTATGTTAAATGAGAATAATTATCATGAGATAGTGTAGATAAAGTGCTTGAAGAAGTCAAGAAAAAATTGCTGAATATTCTACGGAATCAGACTTAACAGAAAATAGAACATCACATCTGCACCCTTCCAGTCCACTACCCACCATCTCTTCTCCACAGTGGCTCTTCCTGTATTAATCCTCCAAATCATTACAGCTCCAGCAACTTGACAAATTGGAAAGATCCCTAAAACTCTGAACCATAACTCCACACATAAAGGGGATTGGTCATTATAGAACAAAAACCATTGTACACACCATAGAGAAATGACAGGAAAGTCCAGGAAGTGTCATTACAGAGTAAATCACAAGCTTGGTGAGTGAGTGAGTGTGAAACTGTTATCACTTGTCAGAGTTGGGTTTGTCAGGCCAGCCCACCTCCACGTTGGGAGAAGAGTCTACAAGTGAAAATTAGAAACATCAAAGGAAATGAGAGATCAGAGCCTGTGGTACTAAGAATCCCTTTAGGGAAAAGTACAAATCATCTGAAAAGAAGAAAATCCTGACTTCAGTTTTCCCATCCTATGTCATGCTGTGTGTTGGCACTGTAGGATAAGCACTGGACAAGTAACCAAAAGGTTGACAGTTCAAACCCACCAGCCACTCCTTGAAAACCCTAATCACGGTCACTATGAGTCAGAACTGACACCACAGTTAATGACAACATATCATCTTGAGGCCACAAACCTCAGCCATTCTATCCTTCCCAACTCAGCCCCATGAAGCTGATCAGACACAGCTGATAGAATCCCTCATCCACCTACCTCCACTAATCTCAACCCCTCCCTCCTCTTTGACCAGTATAAAAATCCTTCCCCCAGTAATACCTCTCTCCTTCCTTCTGACCTCCAATAAAGCCTTACATGTGGGTGTAAGCCATGTCTCTTCCCTTTAACACAACCTCCCAAAAGGTTCCCCTATAAACAACGGTCCCCTAGTCTTACAACTACTTCAAGCAGCAAAACTCCCAACACAAGCAGGAGTCATATACTGTAGGAGTCATCAATCCACCAATGACCCCATCTCACAGGGAAACAATAAGGCCAACCACAAAGCAAAATGAGCCTCCATGCTCCCACCTCCATCCACACAAATGCTTGCTGTTCCCCTATAACACTCCTCTATAACCTCCTTGAAACACAAGAATGGCTTCAATAGGGAGCCACACTTTCTGGGGACTGGCTTCTTCTCAAGGGACTGTACATTCTCCCCAGGTCACAGGCCACACACATCCTCACGGACATACACAATATCCTTCACATAGGGCATGAACTCCTACTCTGCCTCCTATGATCCATATTTTGCTGTCCCCAAATGCCCTCACTATTCTAACAAATAACTCAAAACATGCCCCACTTGCTCAGTTACATCCCCACAGGGAGCATTGCACCGCAAATCATTTCCCACCCATCAAGCCCGCGGCTGTCTCCCAGGAGAAAACTGACACACACAGTTTCAGCCACTCCCAAATTATATACTAATCCAGGTGCACCCCACTATACTTCTTCTTTCACAGGACTGACCAAGCTCAAACCCACCAGCATCCCAGAGGAATAAATGCATGACTCCCACCTAGTAAACCACTTTTCCTGCTTCCTCAACCAGGTGGGCCAGGACCTCCAGTGGTTCTTTCCAAAGGCTAACACTCCTGACGCTATCCTAGTCTGGATCAAAGACCTAGTTCTCCAGGGCACTCTCTCTCTGATTTCTCACCAGATGAAATCTCCCTGTTGACAGTCTTTCTCCTCTGCTGGCTAGCCCTACCTCCACATACTCCCTTAGACATACTTCCATGTTAACTTGCCACCCGGCCTTCCTTGCCCCCTTCGGGGCACTATCTATCATCATTGCAGTAGGCCTCTTTGCTGTCTCACCCCCTGAGTGGCCTCGCTATCTTTGCCTTACTCTTTCTCCTCATAGTGGGACTTACATCATCCCAGTATGCTTTCTGTATTCTTTATGATCAGATCATGCTTTAGCCAAAATGGCGAAACATGCTCAACGCCACACACAGCCATGGATTGCTCCAGTGTCCTAACCTTTATGCACTCTGCCATCTGGAACAAACATCTGTCACCAAGCAGTTTTGCGGAATCAGAGTATGGTACCTATCCAAACTCTCTAATTGCATGGCTTCCCAATCCACAGCTTGCAAAAGGTGGTGCAATAAGCCTGTGTACTGGACATATCAAACCCAAATAGGGACGTCAGATGGGGATTGAGGAGGTGGTAGATGCAGCGAGAAAAAAGATCAGTGTAGAAGCCAGGCCTATGAACGCGCCTAGATCCTGACAGCATCTGCAAACCCCATCACACGCTAATCAGAGAAATAGAAACCATATTCAATAAAACCTCATGCTGAGTTTGTTTGCCCTATAGGGACCTGGGGTACTCAGCCACAGCCATTCCCACCGACCCAGTCCCTAAATCATATCCTCATACAACCACCATACAGTACACAGGACCTCTCCTCATGGAGATTGGCCTCAGTAATTCCACCAACTTCACCTGCATTCATAAGTACAACAACATCACTAATCTTTCCTCCCTCTCCCTTCCAAACTCCTGGTGCATTGACATAACAAATGTAAGCAACCCAACATGCGGGCCAAAAAGAATATTTTTCTTACGTGGAAAAGATTTTCAAATGCCTACACACACAACACCTGTGTGGGGTCACATATTTAATTCCTGCGGCCCGAATCTTGACCCTATCTGATTTAGGAACAACTATTACAAAAAATTAGGAGCTCTGGTAGCGTAGTGGTTACGAATCGGGCTGCGAACCTTAAGATCAGCAGTTCGAAACTACCAGCCACTCCGCGGGAGAAAGATGAGGCTTTCTACTCCTGTAAGATTTACACCCTCGGAAACCCTGTACAGGGTCGCTATGGGTTGGAACCAACTCGACGGCACTTAACAACAACAACAAATTACAAAAAATTATTAGAGGCCCTAAACAAGGACATGGAGAGGATAGCAGACACTCTCCTTGCTTTACAAAATCAAGTTAAACAAACCATGGTTGGACCCTAATGTCCTCCTAGTGGCCTTGGCTCCTCCCCTTCCTAGGGCCATTAACTACAATCCTCCTGATACTGTAATTTGGCCCTTCCCTTGCCTGTTTCGCTGTCTTCAAATTTTTCTTCAGGAACACATGAGGGCCTTTACAAACCAGACAGGGGGCAAATTCCTCATGGCCGGATACCAACTA